TTCAATTCTATTCCATTGATGTGCCTGTCTGTTTTTGGTACAATACTATGCTTTTTTGATTACTATCACTTTATAGTTTGGTTTGAAGTGGGAACATGTGTTGCCTTAATTTTGTTGCTCTTTCTCAGGATTTTTTGACTTGATAGGGGCTATAGCAGCTCACTTTCTATGAAAACTGCTGTTAGGATTTTGATAGGAATTGCACTGTTGTTTTAAGTGTTGTGGCAGTTTTAACTATTAATTATGCCAATGCATAAGCATGGAATTTTTTTCCAGTCCTTGTAACTTCTTGTTCCTCCCACAGTGTCTTATAGTTTTTCATTGTATAGGTCATTCACCTTCATGGTTATGTGTCTTTTTTCTTTCTGAGTACAGGTAAGGATTTGTCCTTACCTAACTTTTTAAAGAACCAACTCTGTTCTCATGGATTTTTGTCATTTTTTATCCCTATTTTATTTCCACTCTAACTTTTTATTATTTCTTTTACTAAGTTTTGGCTTCAATTTTTCTTCTTTTTCTTGTAAACTTAATTTTTTGTGTTTTTCTTGTTTTCAGAAATAGATTTGTATTTCTATAAACTTCCCTCCTAAAACTGCTTATGCTGCATCCCATAGGTTCTTGATAACCTGTGCCTTCATTTTCAATTATCCAGGTATTTATTTAGCTTTGATTTCCTCATTGACCTGATAGTTGCTCAGAAGCACATTGTCTATTCTTTACATATTTTTGGTTTCCCCCTTTCTTGTTTGTTGATTTCCAATTTTGTACCATTGTGATCTGAAAGATGCTTGATATGATCTCAATCTTCATATATTTATTGAGATGTTGTATGTGTGTCCCATCTATCTTTGAGAATGTTCCATGAGCACTTGAAAAAGAATATGTATTCTGTTTTTGTTGGAGAGAGAAGAGGTTATTGATAGAATGCTCTACAAATACTACTAGTCCATCTCAAGTAACTTGTTATTTAGGCCATTTTTGTTGTTAACTTTCTGCCTAGATGACCTATCCATTGCTGCCAGAAGGGTATTAAGGTCCTACACCATTATGTAGCTGTTAATATCCCCCTTCAGATCTTCTAATATCTACTTTATATGTTTTAGTATATCTCTGTTGGGGACATATATATTAATGTGCTACTTTGCCCCAATATTCTTATAATGTCCATCTTCATCTCTCATTACCTTTTTTTGACTGGAAATTTCTTTTCACTTGATATAATGGTTTCCACCTTTGAATTTTTTATTGATATGCAGTGATATTTTTCATCTCTTTACTGTAAGTTTTTGCTTGTCTTCTAGTTGAGTATCTTGTAGGCAGTAATTCAGTAATTCACTCGTACTTTTTGATTGATGAGATACTTCTATTTACATTTAGAGTGATTTTTGATATATGGGGGTTTGCTACTGCCATTTTATCTTGTTTTATGGTCCTATTTATTACCTTGCTCAATACTGTATAAACTTTTTAGATAGAAAAAGCATCTTGTATCATCAATCTTGCAAGCAACCAAAAGAGTTTAAGACAGATATGGTTCTCTGGAAATAAAATTCGGCCTGCCTGTGTCGAGTTCATTGACAAGTGCTCCACATCAGGGACATGTTCATCTTCAAGCCTACCTGAGCCAGGGAGAGATGGTGCAAGGGGAAGAATTTATCACACAGCTTTATTTCCATTTTTAAGTTGCCTCTTTCTTTATTCTGCATTCACATAGTTTCTATAAATGACCATTTCAGAACCAGAGTTTTAAAAAGTTGATTCTGACAGGATCTACTGATTTTTTTTTTCATTGCTATTGTGGCAGGACAGATCACTGGAATTAAATACTTTAGTATTTCAGTGATATCATTCCCATTTGGGTCTTTAAAATATCTTGTATTTTTCTCTTTTTCATAATTTTTTCTTCCACATCTTTTTATTTCTATCATCTCTATAAACACTGTTTCCATCAATTGATTTTTCTATTGCTTATGGAACAAAAGACATGCTTCTTGCATGTCTAGAGATTTTCTATTCTATGCAAACACTGGTATGATTGCATTGCTGCATATTTGGATTATATTATTACTTTAATGAGTACTGAAATTACTTTTGTTAAGCAGTTTAGTTATTTATTGATCAAAATAAGCTTGGAAATCTTTTATTCAAGTGAATTACTTAACTCTATTGTAAAGTTATGATGCCTCTGATTCTCTAAATTGTTGAAAAAGATTTCTTCTGCCTGGATGTATTTGGAGCACCCACCATGTATTTTTAAGTTCTGAAAAGTGTTACTTGGCAGATACTTCACATTTTTATTTTCAAGACCTTGTCACATTAGCACTAAGATAAACACTCAAGGAAACTCTATAACGATATACACAGCCCTTTGTATTTATAGGATACATTTCTTCTCAGCTACTATGTACCAGAACATGTATCTAAAAAGATTATATTGAAAGACAATATAATCTACTATGTACCAAATATTCAAAAGAATTCCCCTCCCCAAATTCTAGTATATAGTATCTTATCAACATTTAGATTACTGAACTCTGTTTAGAGTTCTCTTTTCTGAAGTATCATCTGTAAACTACCCCCATGTTAAAAGGACAGACTGGTTAGGAGGCTCCTTATTTGTTTCTCTTCCACAAGGAATGTAATCCTGGGCTACCTTTTGACCAATCTCAAAACAGATTTTTAATATATTTTTATGGCAGGAACTTAACTTAACCATGGTCTCTGTTATCCTACCACAGCCAGTCTGAAAGTTTGTTGTTATTTAGTGTTTTCTATCCTTTGTCTCAAAAGCTCTTCAGAGGAGTTTGATTTTTTTTTAATGCCTAAAATACTGTTTGTTGTGCTTAATTGATACATAAAATTCTTTTTAGGAATTTAATTAATGGCATTTTGATCTTTTGAATGTACTGACTATTTCCTCCAGAAACTTAATATGTTTTAATTCATCATAAATAAAAAGTAGCTATTTTCAGAAGACACAAATTTTAACAATTAAATGTTATAATTAGTAAAAGTTGTGTTGTTATAATACATTTGAAACAAAGACAAAAATGGCTATAATCCTAAATTTCATTTGCAGCTACCCTTCAGTGTCCCAAAATTTTAAATGGGATAAGGAAAGTGAAAATCCAAGATAAAATGCTTTTGAATAGTGGCTGGGATTTTATCCCGAAATATCTAGTCTCTCAACCTGGTGAACTACACTATTCTGTACATCAAATACAAGTAAAATGTATAAAAATTATACATATAAAAAGTATGAATCCCAACGGGGGGGTGGAGGGAAGTGCATAGGATTATGGTGATAGCACACGGGTGACTTGGTGATGGGAAACCCGCGGGGATTACAACTGAGATGGGGGGGGGGGATGTACAAAATGATGTAAAAATAAAGTGTTATAATCAAACAAACAAACAAATAAGGCAAATTAAAGGGAAAAAAAGCTGCTTTACTAACAGTGGATTATGGATATGGAACATAGTACTATACTAAAAAATGACATGCCTATTTGTATATTTTGGACTCTCATAACTACAAAGTATAAAACTGATTTATGTTATATTGTT